GCAGGTCTTACCGGTGGAGTGGTCCACAGGTCCCCCTCCGTTGTTGCTGAACAGGGCAGCGTACAGGTCAGGGTATGCCTTCTCCAGGGCCACACACAGGTCGAGGAAATGGTCGCTCTCCTTGTTCATGAGCATCTTCAAAAGGTGGTCTACTTTCTCGGCGCTGGACGAGCAGTTCTGGTCCAGCTCGAACCTGTCCAGCTGGCTCAGGGTACCGGAGACTATCAGCAGCTCGATGACTCGGTCCGCATCTGTTATGGACTCCAGTAAGTTCTGGTGGCACTGGTCGAGCAACTCTTTGTGCTTTGGCTCCATGGCTATCCGCTGTAGTTCCGTAGCTTCCCAGCTAACCCCGGACGGCCAAGTGGATGTAATATCCTCACGGATCAAAAGTACCGAGCGACTACTGAACTCAAGTCACCGCGGCTCGCAGAAGTTAGCCGGAGCCACCGCGGCATTAGGTTGCACGGGAGATCAATTTTTATAGCATATTGAAAAAGGCACAAGAAGCCATATTTGTTGCCCAAGGCTGTTGACTGCACTAAACAGCGATACATTTTCCCATCTTACTCGTGTGTGGCAGTTCAGGTCGTTTTCTGCTTCCTGCTTCCTTCCGCCGGAGCCCAAGACATTCCCGTCTCCGTGTGTATCATCCAAGGCGCCCTTTGACGATTCAACTGCTGGGGAAACTCACGTAACTCCGCCGATGAGCCTCAGTTACACTGTATCTTCCGCCATGTCTGAGCAACTCAGCAGCTGCTGCCCGCTGTCAATCAACGTGCCGTTCAATGACCATATAAGGAGAAAGGGGCGGGGCCTGTAAATGACACGCCCATTTCTTCAATGGGCGTACACATCACTCCGTAGTACGTCGAAAATCCCAGGCGGAAAAAATGAGAATGGGCAGAATTTGCATGAAAATCTGGAGATGTATTAAAAATATCGACGTAGTGGTAAAGCTGGGTAAACAGTGAACTCACCCGGAGAGTAAAGACACCATTTATAGCCTGTTTACAAACAAACAACGATGGTACTATTCCCTACAGTGCTTGAATGTAACACACATATGAGTATTTTCATTTATTTTATTCATTTTTATACTAATAAAGCCCAATTTTGACTTCAGTGCATTTATTTTACAGCCAACCTACTTAATAATTTGTGTATTTTACATACAAAACATACTGATATCTGCAGCATAAAGTCCACTGTCCTCAACTTTATTTATACAGCACCTTTCATACAAACATGCAGCCCAAAGTGCTTCACATGGCAAAACTGGAGTGAAACAGACACAAGACAAACCAACCAAAACAGAACAAACAAACAAAAAGATGATTAAAACTCCACAGAATAAAAAGAGAGTAAATAAATACATACATACAATAGAATAAAAATGAACAGGACAGATAAAAGAAGGTAAAAACCAACGGTTAAAACTTCAAGACTGTAATGTTACTCCCCAGCCTCTGCTCATTATTCTTGGAATATCTGAGACCTTCAGAAAGCTAAACACGACACATTCCCTCATAACGGCAAAGAAATTAATTCTATATGTATCATGTACAACTGTAATGTCCAGGAAAATGAGCTTTAAATATAGATGTTGACAATATGTGGAATCCATCTGCTCAATAAAAGATATAAAAAACATATAATAAGTTTGTAAAACACAGTGATTAGACAAATTAAATGACCTAAAAGTGTATTAAATAATAAAAAATTACAACAGCACAATGTTAATTACAGATTAATGCAACAACAGTAATTATCCAGTGATATAATATATAATAGCATAATACTCGGGAGCATTTCTCTCTGCATTATGAGTACGTGTACGAGACAAAGCCTACATTTTCAATGCATTTTTTAAGAGATCGTAAACAACTCCCCTTGAAGTACAGTATTATGTTTCTGTGTTATGATATGTGCTAGCAGTACATATGTTATTGCAATTTTTACTTTTATTCTTTATTATTTATGTTATCTTATTTTATTTTTATCTCAGGTATTTCCTGCTTTGAAAATATATTTTATTTCTTTTTTCTTCATTGGTGTTTTTATCTTTAGTGATACTTGTTTGGAATTTTTACTCTTTTTCTTTTCTTTTAATATTTGTTTGTAAATTGGCGATAAGCACATACATGTCTTTAATTTCAGTGTAAGGTGGGGTCCTTTTACAGACCCTCAGGTATTTTTTTTGTTTTGTTTTATCCCACCTGTGCATTTCCTTATGTCACTGTATTTTTTCACTTTATATTTAATTTCATCATGTGAACAAATGAAGAACTAATGCAGGAGGACTTAAGGATAGGTAGATAGGTAGGTAGGTAGGTAGGTCGGTCGGTCGGTCGGTCGGTTGTTCGGTGGGTGGGTGGATGGATGGATGGATGGATGGATGGATGGATTTTTGCACAACACAATACATACAAAAACACAGATACACATATGTATAGAGAAAATAAAAATAAATAAGAATAAAAACACACAGCACAGAAGGTGAAATATGAAAAGCAAGCAGAGGGTGAAAATGTAAATGAATACAAATGCAAATAAGGTGAAAAATACCCTAAAAAATTTAAATGCAAATTGTGCAAGGTTAAAATAAGCGGTGACTGAGTGACAGTCCAGCAGCCTGGAGGCAGGTGAGCAGGTGTACTAGTTATGGAGTATTTATACTTGAGTAAAGGATCTTTATACTTCCTCCACCAGTGGTAATCTGTAATCTTTGTATAAATTCCATCAGTGTGATGCAACTCACCATATCTCCACGCTGCATCAGATGAATTTACGCTATAAAAACATATTAAATACTTGATGAACTGAGTCATATTGATCCTTTTATCATCATCATCTTTTGATTTAACACAGACGCATCAAATCAGCAGCACCCTCACTGACTACATTAAGTATGTTATTTAGTGAAAATGCTAATGCAGAGATAAAAATATAACAATTTTATTCAGTCCTTGCATAATACTGTCATAGCCACAGGCTTACGCTCCATGTGTCTATAGCCAAAGCACTGCAACCAAGTTCTGTGTGTGTGTGTGTGTGTGTGTGTGTGTGTGTGATGAGATAGAAGAGGGCAGCGAGCCATACGTGCACATATAAACAAAACGTGAAAGTGACAAATGAAATGTGTATTTTCAGTCGGATTTGTGAAATACAATATGATGATGATGGATGCACTCCAGTGTGCGGCTGAATAAAGATTGTTGGCACAGAGGCAGGCGTCTGCAGGCATACCTCTCAAACCGTGACCTTATTCATGCATGCACTGAATCTCATTGTGACATCACAACTCTCTCTTCTCCCCCCTCTGTCTCTCTGTCTCTGCCATGCTGGCTCCATAGCTCCACAGCTCGTGCAACCATGTGCTATCCCTTCAGATGAAAAATTAATTACGATTCATTCATATCAAAGGGAAGCAGGTCCCCACTGATGACACAGATTGGACGTCTGTGTCTGTACCCTACTTCTGAGGACACACGTTTGAGTGGAGAAGACAGCCTGATGCTTTTTATCTTGGGGGTATGAATGAGTTTATTATTTAGACAACAGGGGTGGTGTCTTGAGCTGTCTGATAACTTACTGAAATGTTATTTAACAGATTTGTTTATCAGACAGCGCGGATCAGCGCGGATAATAGCTTTATCTTTTATTGAAGAGACTGTCAGCGAGCATATCCATCATTTATCCTGGTGAAATTTTATTTTATTGCCTGTCTGAGTGCAGATCTAAGTAATGGGGAGCTTTCTTTGCTGAGGGTGGTGAAACAATTACTTTATTCTCCACTCATTTTTGACAATTGTGTATCTATTTCATCTCCATCCTGTGAGAATGCACCAGAATGTTAGAGGAGAATAAGTTTGCTGGTGTCCTTCATCATACTTACACCTTTAAAGACATTTTTAATGTAAAGCCATTATTTCCCACAATACCTCAGACCTTGAGGCACCGTGAGAGGATTCCCACATGATTACATCAGCTATAGCAGACATTAAATTAAGCAATTCAGGGTGTTTAATTAACAGTGAATTTCACAGCCTTCAGCTGCACGCCTGCAACAGATGGGAGGTTTCTGATCATCATGATATCAAAACTACAGTGTTGGCAGAGCTGTTAGACCCTTCTAAAAGTCATATAATGACAGCTAAATTATCCTCTCAAAACTGATCTAATCGCATCTAATCTTCTAGTTATTGTAATCCTCACAGCTATCTCAAGTCCCCCAGCCCGTTTCTGTCATTTCTGGTCAGTTTTAACATGATGTGATCAAAAATGATTCTCCCAGCATGGCCCATACCCAAGGGTCCCTCTGACGGCACTGCAGACATGCTAGACTTGTTTAATGTGGCCAAGGCAGCTTTATGGATGCCATCAATCCCCCCCTTCCCACCACCATATATACACACACACACACACACACACACACACACACACACACACACACTTTAGAGTTATTGATCGTAGTGCAGTTAACTCACACACACTACTGTAGCCAGCCGAGTGCAGCAGTCTCCACAGTCAGGCGTGTTGAACAGCGTTTAAGTGAAGCCAACAGGACGTAATAAGGCATGGAGAGCTCCGTGTGCCTCACACACCCTCAAGGAAAGAGAATTTATGGGAGTACTGATTGAGTGAAATGCTGTGGATTTAATAGTCACCAGATGTCCATCATATTCAGTGTTGGAAAATGAAGACACTTGTTTTTTTATGTTGCCTAAACTGATTAATGAACATGGTTATTGATCTAATTCAATTGGATAATGATCTAATTTCTTCACAGCTGAGCATTTGAAGGGACTCTGCTTGTTGAAATTCCCACTTTTGGTGTGGCTGTGGGGGTTGGATTAAGATTTCACTGCCCTCTACTGTCAAATGGAGGCTACTACCATGCACTAACAGTATCAGAGCAGATATGAGGAGGTCTTAACTTAAATATTTGCACCTCATTCATTTGTTGTTTGTTGTATGTTTCAAATAATTTCAACGTGTGCACGTGTTCTCATTATTTATTTTCTCTTACTCATGAGGATAAAATCAACCCACAATTTATGAAATGTGATGTTTGACTTTTACATGCTACAATAACGGATACACAATGCACAAATTAAAGCATGTGATGCACATACAGCACAACTACGATAAACAAAAAAAGATAGCGTAGACAAAATATAGGAGAGATTATACAATCGCAAACATTAACAGACAACTTTGGTACTTAGCTGCTATGTATTCCACGTCTCATACTTCATTCAGCATTGCTGAACGATACAGAATTAGCTGGTACACGTGCCAGATAACTAAGATATCTGACCACATTGGCAAAATTGATATAAAATATCTTAAAAATATATAGCTCTAAAAAGTCAAATGTAATCTCTTTCATATCTATCGTATGGCCATGTGTGTTCAACTCAAATATCCAACAGAGATATCACAAGTGAAAAAAATATAAAACCTTTTTCTGCATATTGTAAAAGGAAAAGACACAGCATGAAGATATATATGCAGTTTTTAAAACTAGGTAAACATTGCATTGATAGTACTGGCATGGCATGCAGGTTTGCGGTTTGTGTATAGTGCATATAGATATGGCCGAAAACTGATATTTATAGAATATAATCTATACTGTAGTAGTCACTGTGTCCTTTTCAGTCGCTGCCCCCGCAGAGCTTCAATAGGAGCTTCTTGTAGTCTCCTGATGTGTCTCCCTGTTGATAAAACAAAGGTGTCAGCACATTGTCTCACAAAATCATGTGCATTCGTTGCTTTTAAATCATTTCAGTGGTTATGAGATGAAGATACTTACAGAGATGTGCGTGTACAGCGACTTGCCGTAGTTTTTAACATACTCCTGGCGGATATCCAGCATGTCCACCTCGGAACGGGAGACCATGATCCGGATCAGGGTTGTGTCTTTGGTCCCAGCACCCTGAACACACGCAAATACACAGGCAATGAAGGTGACGTAAATTACATATTATACTGTGCTTATTTAGTTATGTATAGAAACCGACAATCCAAACAAGACAGGGTTTCTCACCTTCATGGCCTTGTAAAGTCTCTCAGCAAAGTAGGCAGGTGTGTTCTTAATGCACTTCACTGAAACAGAGAATACTTATTACCAGTGTGCTCATTGATTCATACTTTGTCTCGTTTTCTATACAAACAAGATCAACTCATAAAAGTGCACTGTAAAGAGCACCCTCTAATATTCATCACTGCAAGGTGAGGATGATGAAGACAGCAATACTTATGTGTCACTTGAAATGTGAACTATGAAAAATCAAGCTATGCATACACCAAAAGAATATAAAAGAATGGCAACAAGCAAATTTAAAGCTGCATTAATCAAAATTTTCATACTGAAGGAAATTACTATGTGGACTAGGGGGGTAGGGGATGTGTCTTATAATGACGAACCTATGGAGGATTATCTGCAGCTCTATTCTGCTCTTAAGCCCGTTTGATGCCGGCACATTTACCGTCTGGTTGAGTCTACCCATTTTCATCAACACAACAATCCGACTTTCAGCAGCAGGCAGCAGCTGTTTTAAGCAAATAAACTAGCAGCTTAACAGCCACAACTTAGGAATAGATGGAGACTAGAACAGAGCTAAAGCCCTGTTTCCACCAAACACTTTTAGTATAGTACCTTTGAAACCAAAAGTAACCCATCAGGCATGATACCTTGACCCTAGCTCTGCTTAGCGTTTCCACCACAAACTGTACTCTTTCATGTGGGTGAGGTTATTGTCAGTCACTGATCCATCCAGCACTACCTTAATCAGTCTGCACCTTGTTAATCATCCACAGAGCGAGGTTGCACGTTGACATTTTCAGAACAAAATAGAACAGGCTGCAGTGAGAGTCTCTCTCCATGGGATATTTAAAAATAGAGGGTTTAAGCATGTAGTCCTTCTAAGGCAAGCTCAGGGGTTTAGTGTTGCCGTAGCCCACAGGAACAACGTTCCACAACGCCTTTCTTTTTCTCCAAGTTTACTAATATACAGTACAGGCCAAAAGTTTGGACACACCTTCTCATTCAATGCGTTTTCTTTATTTTCATGACTATTTACATTGTAGATTCTCACTGAAGGCATCAAAACTATGAATGAACACATGTGGAGTTATGTACTTAACAAAAAAAGGTGAAATAACTGAAAACATGTTTTATATTCTAGTTTCTTCAAAATAGCCACCCTTTGCTCTGATTACTGCTTTGCACACTCTTGGCATTCTCTCCATGAGCTTCAAGAGGTAGTCACCTGAAATGGTTTTCCAACAGTCTTGAAGGAGTTCCCAGAGGTGTTTAGCACTTGTTGGCCCCTTTGCCTTCACTCTGCAGTCCAGCTCACCCCAAACCATCTCGATTGGGTTCAGGTGCGGTGACTGTGGAGGCCAGGTCATCTGCCGCAGCACTCCATCACTCTCCTTCTTGGTCAAATAGCCCTTACACAGCCTGGAGGTGTGTTTGGGGTCATTGTCCTGTTGAAAAATAAATGATCGTCCAACTAAACACAAACCGGATGGGATGGCATGTCGCTGCAGGATGCTGTGGTAGCCATGCTGGTTCAGTGTGCCTTCAATTTTGAATAAATCCCCAACAGTGTCACCAGCAAAACACCCCCACACCATCACACCTCCTCCTCCATGCTTCACAGTGGGAACCAGGCATGTGGAATCCATCAGTTCACCTTTTCTGCGTCTCACAAAGACACGGCGGTTGGAACCAAAGATCTCAAATTTGGACTCATCAGACCAAAGCACAGATTTCCACTGGTCTAATGTCCATTCCTTGTGTTTCTTGGCCCAAACAAATCTCTTCTGCTTGTTGCCTCTCCTTAGCAGTGGTTACCTAGCAGCTATTTGACCATGAAGGCCTGATTCGCGCAGTCTCCTCTTAACAGTTGTTCTAGAGATGGGTCTGCTGCTAGAACTCTGTGTGGCATTCATCTGGTCTCTGATCTGAGCTGCTGTTAACTTGCGATTTCTGAGGCTGGTGACTCGGATGAACTTATCCTCAGAAGCAGAGGTGACTCTTGGTCTTCCTTTCCTGGGTCGGTCCTCATGTGTACCAGTTTCGTTGTAGGGCTTGATGGTTTTTGCGACTCCACTTGGGGACACATTTAAAGTTTTTGCAATTTTCCGGACTGACTGACCTTCATTTCTTAAAGTAATGATGGCCACTCGTTTTTCTTTAGTTAGCTGATTGGTTCTTGCCATAATATGAATTTTAACAGTTGTCCAATAGGGCTGTCGGCTGTGTATTAACCTGACTTCTGCACAACACAACTGATGGTCCCAACCCCATTGATAAAGCAAGAAATTCCACTAATTAACCCTGATAAGGCACACCTGTGAAGTGGAAACCATTTCAGGTGACTACCTCTTGAAGTTCATCGAGAGAATGCCAAGAGTGTGCAAAGCAGTAATCAGAGCAAAGGGTGGCTATTTTGAAGAAACTAGAATATAAAACATGTTTTCAGTTATTTCACCTTTTTTTGTTAAGTACATAACTCCACATGTGTTCATTCATAGTTTTGATGCCTTCAGTGAGAATCTACAATGTAAATAGTCATGAAAATAAAGAAAACGCATTGAATGAGAAGGTGTGTCCAAACTTCTGGCCTGTACTGTATGTAACACTTTCCATGGTATGAACAGTGGTTACATGAGCCTCAAAACCAGCCACAACTCAGCTCTGAGCAGAGTGACCATCTGCTTTAAACCAATCGCTTTTGACCAGCTCCACCTTTTAATACCAGATCTGTGTGCTAGGTACCGTACCCAAAAATGGGGACGGTATGGAACGGTTCCATTGGTACCATCCACAACTTTTCACGGTGGAAACGCGGCTTAAAAGTAAAGTGTACATTAGTTGTATATTCATCAGGTGGCAGGAAACATGACTGCCATAGAATGATATAGTTGCTCAGTGTGTGCTCATTGTTAGCCACAAGATTGTGATATTAAATCTGGGCTGCATTTGTCAGCTTTTTCTGCAAATTTTCTGCCCCCTAGTGGCAAAATATTGATTAATGCAGTTTTAATGCAAGTTACATTTTGAAAAAAAATAAAAAATAAAAAAATAAAAAGTAAAGGTGAAATCAGAAACAAGAAGAGTGAATTGGAACACAGCGTCGAAAACAATGGCAAACATCCAACACTGCACTGCACACAACTTCACAATGAAAAAGTATAGACTGGGTGTGCAAAACCAATGAAAGGATTCAAATCAAACACATCTAAAACAGGTTACTGTACCATAACCCTGAGAAATGTTGGCAAAAAAAGAGGGGGGAAAAGAGATTATGCATTTAACAGCACCCCTTCCTCCAGCTCTTTTACAAAAGTGTATTAAGATAGCTGTAAAACAGTGTGGAATAAAAATGAGCATGGAAAATGTTTTGTGGTTGAATGTGTGCTGCAGACAGCCTGTATGCTCGTCATTAACTAATTATGTGGAGCAGATTGTGACTCACATTACATGGGTGTGACACATCTAAAAGTAGATCTGAATAGGTGTGTTTAGTCTTACCCACTGCCAACATGCCACTCTCAAGGTCTCCGGACATCTCCCTGCCGATGCTCTTCTCAATATCCCGGCCACACATCTGCTGGTACTGAAGAAACACTACACACACACATAAACACACATCATCAGTAATAAAGCTAACAAGGTCCTAAAGTTGCATTTGTGGCCTGATTATCCTTTAATGTGAACATGTCTCCATAGAGATTACCTGCTCTGAGGTGGGGTTTGCTCCTGGCACACAAAATAGCATTAAACTTGGACTCATCTGTTCCCAGCTTGTTTTCCCCAGCAGCATACAGGGCCTATAAGGAAAACAGTAATGCATACAGATCAAAATTAATTAATAATACAAGAACTTCCAAGCTGCAAATAAATCATCAAACATTAATTATCAATGAGAGAGAAGCAGACTTTACCTGAGCATCTTGTTTAGCCAGAGAGATGTCAACATGCTCTCGTTCATCACGATTACCCTGTAAATACAGGACAACACATTCCTCATTAAATCTGAAAGCAGTTGCTAAGAGACAAGTATACAGATAATGCATTGGTATCACATCTGTACCTGGGCAAGAGAGATCAGGAGCCTGCGGAAGTGGCCTGAAGTATCCCCACTAATGGCATCCTCCAGTGACTTCTTGTATTCTGAGATGGCGAAAACATAATGGTTCAAACAAACAAACAAAAACATATCAAATGCAAATACATGGGTTCAAGCTGTAGTGACTTTTGAAGGCTGATAATCAATATTTTTGTATGTGGAAGATGGTGATAATGAGTATTTTCTTTTGGCAGCAACTTTAAACATGTTACAAACATTCAAATCATACAACATGTCACGACTTTTCAGGCACCCAATTTACAAACAAGCAGGGTCAAAAATTGGTACGTGTCCCTCACCAAATGCAAGTCAAAAATATACATGGCAAATAAAATAAATGAGGGCAGCTGCCATTGGTGGGTTGCTGAAATAAACCTATCACTACAGATGCTAATCAGTACAGCATATAAGTTGATTGATCATGTTTCGTTTCCATTAACTCACCATGACAAATAGGCAGAGGTGGAAGAAGTATTCCTAAAGTACTAATACCACACTGAATTTACCCCATATGCAGCAAGGGGCCACAGACTGGAATTGGGCCTGCGGCTGCTGCGGCAAGGTTACTGCCTTCGTATACCCACTAAACCACCAGGCACCCAATAGAGGGTTTTTTGACACATTATTTAGTTAAGGATGTTCGAGAATTTCTCTCAACACATCCTTTAGTTTATTACCAACTGTAAAAATCAACACTTCTGGAGAGACGTAGCTTTCACTGGACAGAGGGAAACTAGAAACTAAAGCCTTCAGACAAATGCAGAGGAGCAAAAAGTACAAGTTTCCCCTCTGAGATGTAGCGAAGTAGAAGTATCATAAAATAAAAATACTCAAGTACACGACACCTACAATACCTTGAATTTGTATGAAAGTACGATACTTAAGCAAATTTACTGCAAACAGGACCTGCTCATTTGTTTGTGTTCATTTTTATCTAATGCAGTTTCATAGCAAGCTGAATAATATTTGTGACGGTAAATATTTATGTTTATTTACCAACCATTGGCAGATAGACCAAAAAAGTTATTTTGGACCCTGCTGGCAAGAGAAACTAGGATACTGCATATACGCACAGAAAAAAACTGACTACACTGAATAATCAAATAAATAAATCGTATAAGCTGTGCAATTCTGACACCTTAATTTCAATTTTTTATTGCTGACAAAAAAAAAGCTAATACTAAAAGACTTCTTGTGTAAATGATTCCTAGCCCAAGCACCTGCATTTACAAATTTTAGACAAATTTAGATCGCCTTAGTTTACCCTCTAATGTGACACAGTATTTTCAACACAGTGCTGTGATGCTGTGTGATAAAGGAGATCACACAATAGAAGGGGAAAGCAGTCCCTTCAGCGCCCTGAGGCATCTCACCTTGTTTGTAGATACGGTTTATCTCCTTGATTTCACTGTTGGAGCGAGAAGACAGGATCTCTATCAGACAGGCTTCATCGGTTCCAGCTCCCTGTTTGGAAGACAGAACAATGATAACCTGATAGCCTCATCCTCTCGCCTTGTAGCCGCCAAAATCCTTCTTTCTTTATTTTTAATGCAATTCTTTACAGCATTTTATAATAACGTGCATCTTCAGCAAGGAACATTTCTCATAATAAGAAGTAAGCAAATACTATCAGAATGCAAAACCACATAATAACCTGGATTATTCTATGTTGACAAAGAGATGGGAAGTACTGAGAAGATTATCAGTGGTTTTGTTTGTGAGCATTTACCTTTATGGCATTGTGGAGCTCGCTGGCATCAAACTCAGCTGGGGCCTTCAACATGGCCATGACCAGCTTCCTGAAGTCTCCGGACAGCTCTGAATGCAAGTCCTTAATCAGATCCTGAAAATGAAAACATGCTTGGCATTACTAAAACCATCAGTAATTGTGAAACCCTCACAGCAGTAAGCTCTGTGGCACGGCTTTAATGAGCTCTGAGGACATCCAGCCCCCTCTCCATTTTACTGGCAGCCCCAGCACCTGTTGTCCGCTTGTCACCATTATGTAATGCACACTGAGCCTATGTGATTCTATATTGAGAAATTGTGTCTGTTTTGGAAATATTTTAGTAAGTAAATAGTATAAATACTATAACAGAGTATGGCATCAGGAATCACATTAACAACATATGAACCTAACAGTAAGCATAAGCAGGACTGTTACCTTTCCATAGGAAGTTTTGTAGGCTCGGGGCAGAGGCACACGCTGCTTGTTGGAGCGACTACCCAGTAAGTCGATGATGGCTTGCTCGTCAGTTCCTGCACAGACAAGCCCACAATGTCAAATCAGAAATTTACAAGTAACATTTACACTTGACAGTTACAAGTATCTTTCTAAAGAAGAAAATGAAGACTGTCCTCGACTAAGGAAAGCCCCAAACTGTGTGTCATTTTTGTTTAATTTAATTATCAGAGACGCGGCGAGAGAGACTGAAACATTATCTCAGATTGAGTTTTGGTTTGAAAGGACCTGTGGACGTGGGATAGCAATTCGGCGCCAGTCTCCACTCATACCGGGCAGCTGGTGAACCTGAATCTGGCAGAGTTGGAAGGAGACCGAATGGTTGTACGCCAGAATATCTTACTTGTTGTTAAACTTAACAGTGGGTTATTGCCTACATTAGACCACCTGCATTAAGATGTTTTAATAGTGGTTTAATTTCACAACAGTGACAAGCAATGCTGAGGCTTAGTACAAACTGACAGAGACGTCTCTCCGATGATGCAAGCAATGCGCTCGTCTGCAGCAGAGAGCTGTGACTGAGAAGAGCCTTCTGCAGCGGTTGTGGTTATGTGTGTACTTGTGCGGTTTTTGTGCGTCTAGTTTCATGTCAAACTACTTTCATTTAAATTTTTGGATGGTTCTTACAGAGGACACGTAGTTAACGGCACCCATTACCACCTTCCAAGCACCACTACTAACAGGAGAAAATAAAATTCTCAACCCAAATTCACCAAAAATAACTTCAATCTCAGCGTCGGACAGGTTTTACTTTGTCTCTCTCTTACTTTGTTTGTTTACCACAGGTTCGCAGGTTAATATGATGCACCTATCCATAGTAACTGTCACCTCCACATCTGGTGGTTGCTGTCTGTTCATGGGCAGGATGTATGCTAATTGCTGGCTAGTGGGAGCGCACTGTGAATTTACATTCATTCACACACGTGCCTACGATCAAATCCAAGTTTTCTGCCATGTTCATGAATCCGGGATAGGTTTTTAGTACCAAGGTTTTTCAAGTACAAATTTACCACAGATTTACTAACATTTCATGTATGAGACCAAATGACCGCTAATCAGCTAAACACATCTTACTTGACCCTAACGACCAAATAGTCGACTAAGTACTTAAGAGGGTGCGATCCAAAAGAATATACAGTCAGAGCACAAATTCCTAAATGGACATCATCAACTAAATCATGTGCATCCGGGGGATATTATTAAGCTCTCTGTCCACGCACTCACCAAAGCCCTTCATAGCCTTCCTCAGGACCTCCACATCTTTAAGTGGGTCAGCTCCAGGAAAGTCCTTGATTGTTCCCCTGAATCCTCTCTGAGATAACAATACAGCGATTTCCTCAGTGAGGCAGGTGTTTACATGACATTACATTGTAAATTTCTAAACGTGTATGTGTGTATTTAACACAGATATTTATTTATTTATTTAACTAAAAAAAACCCAAGTTATTTTCAGTGTTGCTTACATTGACAGGTGGAGCTATCGGCATGGCTCCTCCTCCTCCATACGCTGGCATGGACGGATTTGGAGAAGGGACCTTAGGGTAATTTGGCATAGGTGCTTGTGCTCCTCCATAACCAGGCATGGGTGGGTTGGGTGAAGGTGCACGGGGGTACCCGGGCATTGGCTGGCCGGGCTGACCAGGGTAGCCCATCCCTGGGCCTTGGGGGGCTGGCATGCTCCCTCCTGGCTGTGGGTACAGGCCATATGACTGTTGGTTAGGGATGGGGGCACCATACCCGCTAGGCTGAGTGGCAGGTGGGTACCCCCCGGGGGCTTGGGCGAACATGGACGGGTTTTGAGTAAAACCCCCCATGCCTGCAGGGATCTGGTTTGCCTGTGATTTGGAAATATGGCATCTCATAATATGTGTACAGAGCTTTGAAGATTATTGCATGCAAAGCAAAGGGAGCTGGTCACACCTTTTTTGGATTAGATTTAGATTTATTTTCATATTTATGGCATTAATCAACATTTAACAAATTCCCAATTAAATGTCCTTTACCATGGATCAAACTTCAGAGGAGAAACTGAAGTTTGATCCTGATGTTTTAAATTTTATCTACACGACTATGTACGAGTATCCAAATAAAGTGTGGCCATGCTATGTAATAGCATGATGAAAAGTTCACATATCTGATAACAGATAATGAGAATACAACACAGACAAGACAATGACTCAGAAAAGTAAAAAGGGAAATGGAAGTTGCATTAGACTGACAGGTTTAATGACTGGTTTTCTCATGCAAGACATAGAAAAGGGAGCTGAAAGAAGAAACGGTGAGGCTGAGAATTTTAAGATGCCAATGTTTGGAAAAATCTTACCGCAAAATGAACGGATGCGATATTCCATGAATGGCTGTGTAATTAATTCTAACAGGCATATTTAACGCAATAATCTGATGAGGTTGCATTTCACACGTATTAAGAAATTTGTGGGTCAGGTGAAGATCATTTTTTGACTAAACTCACCATGGCATTGTATCCAGGGTTGGATAGATTGTCAAGACCGATGGAGGGATATCCACCAACAGGGCCGCCTCCCCAGCTGCCTGCAGTGGACAACAAAGACAAAGCTGTTCAGGGAACGTTGAGAATGTGTTGTGCTACTGAATGTCTGAGAGAATTCAGAATATTAGACTGAGGCGGACTGCTCTTACTGGAACTTCCGCTTTCTCACTTTCCAACTAGTTAACAGGTAGGTGAAAGCAAGCAGGACAGAGAATGGGAGCACTATGTAAAAGATGGACTGTGGGACTTGCTTCTCTTAGCAACAGCAGAGCCTTGTTTGTTTTGGGGGAAAGAAATTCCAGTGTTAACTTTAAGTCTCATGATGCCTGTTGCCTACAAACACGACGTAGCTGACTCATGCCTTCTAAGACAGGCAAGTACTTTTAAGGGATGCTTGTGTTGCTCTTCATGTGCTGAATGAGAAAGTGGGCAGTTTTTGCTAACAGGTCACATAGTATGGCATGATGGCTTACCTTGTGGTGGTGCCTGTGGGTAGCCACCGGCCTGTGGTGGATAGCCCCCTGCCTGTGGAGGATAGCCTCCTGCCTGTGGGGGATAGCCACCAGGTTGAGGGGGATAGCCACCAGGTTGAGGAGGATAGCCTCCTGCCTGTGGAGGGTAGCCTCCAGCTTGGGGAGGGTAAGCTCCAGGCTGAGGTGGGTAGGCACCAGGTTGTGGAGGGTAAGCCCCAGGCTGTGGTGGGTATCCGCCTGCCTGAGGGGGGTATCCAGGGTAGCTCATGGCTTGAAACATAAAACAGAACTGTCAATCAAAGGGCTGCAAGACATAACCTATTAATAAAAACCTAAGAATGCTGTTCAGTAGCCACCTAGGCAAACAGGTATTTTATCTGGTCGTAAAGACAATTAAAACAAAGAGTAGAACACTGTTGGCACCCTTAAGACATACTGAACGCATTGATATAGCGACAAGAGAGTTGAAAACACACCCAGCTATAAACCTCGTCATCCTCAGGGTGGACAAAAATTACTCAACTGGTGCAGTTCTACAGCAATAAGCATATAGCTAGTTGTTACCATACTAATCTGCTTTATAGGTCAGGTCCCTTGACTCAGTGAAGTGCTATTTAAATGCTGCCTGCCCAAATATATATTCAGCAGTCTTTGCTTTTGAATGCAGAGATATAAAGTGTCACTGTCATGGCAATCTAATGAATCGCAAACTCTTCATTCCAGGATGATTGGATCACAGACGTTTCTAGCTGAGTGGTGGGGTGGTGAGGAAACTTTCTTTATGGTTAAGCTCGGTATGAAAAGCCTTTACTCCAGTTTGCCTACTTGTTCCATGGTGAGACTGACTTCAGTGGACATAATGGAACAGTCTTCTCTGCTTTGCATTTTATGGTCAGGAAAAAAAAAACATGTTGCTCTGTTTGAACAAGCACAGGGCAGGGAGGCTATGCGATGATATGCAGAGGTCAAATCCGATGAGATAGAAGCAGCAAATACAGTGACTATTCTATACCATACTTTCACACAATGACTCAGGGTCTAGCCTTTAACTTTTAATTTCCTGTACACTTCCTCTTCATGCCCTGCTGCTGCTGCTGCTATCCAACACAGTGAAGTGTCCTTGTAAAATACCTCATTGACAGTTAAAACACATTTGGTCTGAACAAATGTGGATGTCTGGTTCACGTTGAAATGCATCACATTTAATTGCTGTTCAGGTGCAAACATATCACATGCAACTGTTTTCACACTTGAAGTGTGGGAAAACTGTGACATGTTAAAACCACGGTGCACAGCTGCAAAACCTGACAGCAATGCACTGCAGTGTTTGCACAGGGAGCTGGGGTGTTTATAAAGGCATTGATCTTTTAAAGGGTCAAAGGTTTTGGAAAAAGTAATCAATACGAGGTAGTGCAAGCTCCTAAGGTGTTGTAAGACAGTGACTGTTACTGTTAGCTAATCCTAACATTGGTTCATTATGTTCCAGTTAGTTACGGCGCTGGGTGTGTCACTACTCACTTTGAAACTTGGGACTATTGCTAGCTCACACTGTATTACTTTATCTAGGAAATGGAGTACACTGCATCGATTGTTTCACGCTGTGCTAAACATATGATATCAGTTAGCAGAAAACAGACTTTAAGCTAGCTTGTAACACGAGCAAAACTTTTGAACAGTTGGCATGCTAATATGTCGCTGCTGCTTCAGGCCTGTACAAATCTCCCATCGAAAGCCAGCTAAGTAACCTCCCAATCCAATTTACATAATAAGGTTAGCGCAGCCATGTCAATTGAACCCTGCTCCTTAGCCGTGAGTTAGCTAGCTAGCTGGCTAACTAACTATAAATAACTGCACAAAATCACAGCAGCGAAGTTAAGCTAGCAGCTAACACGGTCGTTTTGTAGCTTTAACGGTTGAGCTAACTTGTAAGTGTGCAGTAATGTTGGCAGGCTAACGGCAGCGCCGAGAACACCGGAGAAACACAAGACCACAAAACCAAAAATAGTTGCCACGTATCTAAATATAACTCATAACATTAGCTAATGACTTATTACTTATCCTAGCTCGGTATGTTTGCGTATAAGTTTGATTTTTAGCACTTACTTTAGTCTGCTTGGAGTCTCTTCCTGGAGGACGTATTTGTTTGACCAGCCGCAGCAGCCTTGACTGTACTTAAGCTGCTGTGGGTGGGACTCATAGTTTCCATGTAAGGAACCCACCCATGTTCCTATCTGCCCGTCACAGAGCGCTGACACACACAGGGTTCTCGTCATGTGACAGCAACAACAACAGATGTGTGTGTGTTCACCGCTGGAAGCATACATACAGAAACATTAATGACATGACGGAAAATGTGACTGGCTGACGTCACATGATATGTCACAATAGGTGTGTTATTCTACAGGTGAGTGCCTAAATATAAAACTAAGTCACACCACCCATCAGTTGTGTGCTTCCTGACACATGAATACTATTTTACTAGTTCTTAACAATGAGATTATAAAATGTAGGAATTATATATACTAATTTCATAGTAATTTTAAATCCATTTTATAGTAATCAAAGTTACAGAAGTATAACTACAATGCTACTGTAATTATTTACATTTTATTTACTAATGACTATTATATATTATATTATTGTATAATAAATACTAAATCGTTTTATAGTAATCAAAGTTACAGTCATAATTACAATGCCAATGCATTTATTTATATTTTACTTACTCATAAATATTATATATTATATTATTATATATTAAATACTAAATCAAATTATAGTAATCAAAATTACAGATGTATGATTGCAATGCCATAGTATTTATTTACAATGACACTGGCAATTGTATATGTATTATTTTTAATCTATCTATCTATCTATCTATCTGTCTATCTAATTTTATGTAATGTATATTTGTATAATAATAATAATAATAATGATGATGACAACAATATTATTATATTATTATTATTACTACTACTAATAATAATAATAATTGCAGTAATATTTACAGTAACAATAATAACAATAAAATAATAATATTTTTGTTCTACTCTGATACATATTCCATGACTGAAAAGGAGCAGGGAGACGTAAACAATTTTATTTTACCTTCCCCTGTCTCAAAACACAACTAATCAGAAGAATTACAAGCTCTCTCAGTTTCAGTTATTAACATAAACTGTATAAATAATTAATAATCAATACTTACAGTAACTTCAGAAAGAAAAATATATAAATAAATAAACATAGAAGAATCGACAGCCATACACAATGTCCCCTTCATCTAAGGAATAGCTTTTACACGACAACTTCATATAGTCTAATTTTTAGTTTATACATTTTTTCGAACTTAAAAACATTAAGACAACTCTTTAAATCATTCTGTAATGAATAACTGAAGAATCATAAAACACCAGGGGGTAAAATTAAGTATAAAAACAGTTATACTTGTATTGTAGTACTAAAAAGAAGCTGTGAGGGTGGGTCGTTATTGTTTAAATAATAATAATAATAATAATAATAATACACAGTTAAACACAGTTACAGAGTGCTTTACAGAACAATGTAAAATAGTATACACCATCAAGATAAAAACACTAAAAACAAAATATATAAATAAAAGCAAATAACATAGAACATAGACTACGGCGAGATAAAACAGAGTGTGTAATAAAAAAAAGTAAAATGTGATAAAAGAGGGCTATAAACTAGACAAACAATAGGTTTGTTGTCAGAATGCCTTCCTGATAAAGTTCATTTTGGGCAATGATTTCAAAGACGGTATTAAGTTTGCTAATCTGGTGATGTGTCATAATTTCCAGCAGACGATAGTTTAACTTCCCTCTACATCACTGATTATAACATTGCAAAAGAAAGCTGTATATGATGATTCTGTTATTACACAACTGAGCTGTTCGTGTGTGTGCAGGACATTTTCCACAAGAGGGAGCTGTTTTTAAAGTTTTGTCCACACAGGCCTGTCTGCCACCTTCAGGTTGGGAGCTGGGACATGCTCACATATGAGAGAGGCCTGGGGCTGGTGTTGAGGTGCTTATTCTATTGATTGATTAATTAACTGACTTGATTGATTTGTATTTAGTAATGGTGCTTATTAATAAATGAATGATGCAGCTTTTTTTCTTCTTGCACATGTAAAGAAATATCTTTCTATATGGCTGATCAACATTAGTGACAGAGTTTGGGATTTAGCTACAAGTAAAACACCTTTAGAAAATTAACATAAGTCACAGGAGGACCCCAAGGATCAGTCAGTTAGGTGCTATTACTCACCTCTGACCCTGAATAAACACAACACCTATCACCCCCACTTCTTCAACACTTACAGAGAGACAAATGTTTCTTCATTATACATAATACAAGTAACTAAGAAGGGCTTAAGTTAGCCAAATAAATATAGTTTTAAAACTGGTTTGACTGATGTGGCATAATATTTCTTACACTTATACTGAAGCTGAGCTCTTGAGATGAAGAGTAACAACAGGCAGATGAGCCATTTGTCTCCTCCAGTGAGCCAGCAATGAATATTCATATACCCAGACGCTGATTGGCACGCGTCTTCGGTGACGTAGCGCTGTCCTCATTACATATTCAAAGAGCCTCTCTCTGCCCCACTGCAATAAAGGCAGATAGCGGACCATGGGGAGCAGGGGAAAACTTTTTATACTGACATGTTAGCGCAATGACTTTTGAGTAACATCAAACTGGGACGAGGCTCCCGGCGTGAGGAGGACAGGGCCCTTTTACGGGAACAAAAAAGGAGCACTTGCCATCTGCCGGGGAAACGGGAACGAAAAGCAAGCAGAGAGAGTTGAGACCAGTCCAAGAAATCAGCGGTGGAAAATCCAGTTTAGCCATTTGAATTGAAAGATGAGCTTGTTGTCTGCCATAGACACGAGTGCCTCCGTGTACCAGCCTGCGCAACTCCTCAACTGGGTCTATCTCTCCTTGCAAGACCCCCACCAGACCAGCGCCTTTGACGCATTCAGACCCGAACCCAACTCTTCCCACCCGGATCTCAGTTTCAGCAAGACTCCCGCAGCGGCGGACTTGAGCTCTTCCCTGAACTCCAACTATCTCAACAACTTCTTTCAGCTGCAGAGGAATGAGGTGAAACATGGCATGCCGCATACATACATATGTGGGGGGATTTCAGATTGGGAGAGTGTGGGTGAATGTAGGATCCTGGGCTGGGTGACTGGTGCAAGTCTGTGCAGCAAATGTTTCAGCATGTACAACATGGGCTATTCTGGTAGGACACACATAACCGCCATGATATTTCTAATATGGACAATAACTCAGAATAGTCTCATTAAATCAACATTTTAGGGCGTCAGCACTTTGAATACTGATGAAAACTCTTGTTATAAGCAATATATTATAACATTTAATTGTCATACTTTATAACAGAAGAAGTAGGCTGCTGTAAATGTTACTGCAAAACTCTAAGCCCAAAGAAATACTATGAATATCATGATTTCACATCAGGTAGGCAGTGCACTAACAGTAAGAAGTGTCACAATGATGCAATAAACTCACTTATGAGTATCTCAGTTGCACTATAACTCCAGAATATTACAGGACTGTTGGGGGAAATCATTTTAGTAAGCCTATTAAAACTTAATTAAGCAAGTAAGATCTTACTACGCAGCTGTATAGCAATTTCTCCAGACAGTTTAATTCCCATTTCCCTATAATGTCATTTAATACTTTGGGTTAAATAAGTCAATTTTAAGTGTGCCGACAAGTTAAAGTTCAAGTTAAAGGTGAAGATGTTGTGCAAAAATGTGTTTTAATCGTGTCTAAAGAGCCACAGATGGAAATAGATTCCCCTGCACGCCTCAGTCTGGAGAGAGCAGGCCACTGCAGCCTCCTGCTGAGGTCTGCTGTCTCTGACTTCTTCAAATAGACCAGGTTGTGCAAACAAAATCAGTCCTTATTTACATATTGTCTATTTTTGTAGCTTCATGTAATTTTAGGGACAAACATGCTGATAATGTATGCAGGAGGGGGCCAAACCTGATACTGCAGGCCATACTGTGCATAAAGGAGCCGACTACCACACCCACACATATGTACAGCGCACACAGAGAGAAATAATCACATACTTTGGGTAAAATGCGAGTGTAAAGACTATACTGCAAGCTTCTGAGTGGGTTGATTACACTGCAGTGGAGCGTCTTAGATCTATGTTACTGTGACGCTATGCGCTGGAAACTCAAAGACACAGAAGTAGTGGATAGATGGTGTGTATTCACCATCTCCAGCCAGTGTCCATTATTATGCTGGTAACCATAGAGGCCCTTTGAAGTCATTTAACATGAAACAGTCCTCTGGAAATTGGGTGTGCACATTCTACATTACACGCAATTGTGTAATGCCATTCAATCCGCATGAGTATAAAGTGTTTCAAACTGAGAGAGTGCATACAGTCTGGAAACAGTTTAGGAGGTGGGGGGTTCGTTTTGCAACTTACTATGGTGGCTAAGCCAAGAAAAATAAACTGCTGCAGAGATGTGATGATGAGATGAGTAATGCAAAATGTGGTTGTTTTTGCAATGGAGGATCACACAGCTTTAAGTGAACGAGTGATAAATGAATGAATTTGGTGCTGATTGGAAACTCATATTGTGGCACAAGTCAAGTATGCTTACTGCAATCTCATCTGCTGATTGCTCTGCTGAAACGTGTGTCACTTTTTCACCTATGTAACCATGTCCTCGTCTGTGAAGACAAATACTTTAATGTGACTTTTGGACATTTCTAATCATTCTGGATTAATCTACACTCTTAGAAATAAAGGTTCTAGGGCTCTTCCCGATGGGCTAAGGTTCCACTGAGAGCCATTTGCTTCTGAAGAACCCTTTTTTAATGTAAAGGGGTTTCAAGCATTCTTTGTAAGGCAAGGGGTTACATTAAGAACCCTTTTTTACCTGATGAACCCTTTTTTGAAGAAAAGGTTGTCAAGGGTTGTTTGTGAGATGAAGGGTTTCATGAAAAACCGTTTTCATCCAAAGAACTCTTGTTGGACGAAGGAGATTTTCAAAGATTATTGAAATGGGTGTTTAAAGGTCATTACCCTATGTTTACCTATGTTTCCAGCTAAAATGTTCGGTATAGTTCCATCAGAACAATAGCTAACCCCTACAAACACGTACCTAGGATCCGTTCAACGTTCTCGCTGTACTTCCTCTTCACCAGTGATGCAGAGGGAAGTCTGCAATTTGTTTATTGTCCACTGAATGGAGTTGGCATGCCAACATTTTCAGAACAACATAGAACAGGCTGCAGTGAGAGTCTCTCTTGATGGGATATTTGAAAATAGTGGGTTTGTGCATTTAGTCCTTGTCAGGCAAGAGCAGGGGTGTAGTGCTGCCGGAGCGCACCAGAACGATGCTTCGCCATATTTTTTTCTCCAAGTGAGGATGAGAATATGCAGCTCACATAATCCAGTCTAAATTCATGTATAATTTTTAAATGCTTGAAGATCCAACAATTATTTATTGTGTAGGTCAGCCAAGAGAACAACGAATAGAATGGTCAAAGTTGTCATGTTGAAGTTGTCAACTCATGCATTGAGTGCCTAGTGAATTAAATAATTTTTTCTCAGTCTATAGCTGCTAACTGTTATCTAGCAAAGAGGAAGAGGCAGCAAAACATACTTTTATTTCTAGTCATAGTTTACTAAAGTGGTTACATAACCTCAAAACCAGCCAGGTTCTCAGTTGACTTACCATTCTGTTGATATCTTGACAGTCATTACATGCCTTAACGTAGTTAACTGCATACCTGTATTGAACAGACACTATGTTAATTGCTTAATGGACAGAGTTACTGTCCCCTCTGCACTCTGCCACTGCATCCTGGTAGAGTTAAGAACTACTGCACCACTAAAGTAGTAAAGGCTGGAGTAGTAGTGATTTCACAAAATCTTTGCCCCTGTAAAATGTAATTTCCTCATGAGATTTGAGGCTGGCAGACATGGTTCCTCTGGCTCCAGGCTTACCTGTCAAAATATAACCATGATTTGTAGAATAGAAAAAGGTCCTTACTATAACCATTTTGGTGGGTTCTTGATGACTCTCAGGACTAAAGAATGGATAAGGTAAAAAGGTCCTGAAAGAACCATCTAAATGGTTCCATGTGGAACCTTTATAAAAGGCTCTACAAGGAAACAAAAATGGTTCCCCTATATGGGGACATGAACAGAACTCTATAGGCGCTTTTAGAGCCAATGTCACGATGATCTCAGTTTGTTTGCTGAAGGCAAAACACGACTCTCCACCACAGGGCTGTAGGCTACATAGGAGTCTTAAACTGTCATCTTATTGTGTTATTGGGAGCCAGAATAGAAGGAGACATGGCTCAAATCTTAAATTTTAGATAAAGTATTTCCTGTTGTAGGGATGAATAACGTAATGTGTATTATTGGTTATCATGTCCACCTAATCAGAAATTGGGGAGGTACTTAGAGGGATATTGGATTTCTCTGTAACACTAACTTTCTGGTGCGTTAGCTAACGTTAGCTTTGATAGCAAAACAAACTGGAGGAAACTGTTCAAGTGTCGTCCTCCTTTGTAAGATTGGCATAATGATCAACCACAAAGATGGCCATCCCACCTTCAGCAGTCCTGTCAAATCATCCATCCACTGAGTGAGAGCATACAGGTCGGCCAGTCTGGTCCCAGTGGTCAGTGTTTACTTTTTCAAGTAAGACTTGTGGTCTTGGAGAGTGAGTGACCTGACATGGTGTGTTGGTAAATTCAGTCTGACACTCTACACTAAAATGAGAGCCCTGTTGGTCGAAGAAATGGAGTGTTATATTTCTATATGAATTAACGAACAGTTAAGTTAATCACACATTCACACCGCTTGGCGCACTGCAGAGAGTGCAGTGCTGTGGACAACTGAACAGTTCATTCCAACAGCACTCCAAATTTACAAACGTTTGTGCCACAGTGCGCTTCGACACTCGGAATGAGTATTTCTGAATGCGCCATTCGCATCATCTTCCTCCATTGTCCAAAAGAAGCCAACAGAACTTGCTAGCTAGCACTAACTAATGTCTGTGAAGAATTGTTTTGCCTCCAGCTTAGCCCCGTCCACCAAAAACATCATACTAACAGTAAAAGGGTCTATATGGTTCCAGTTAGCACCTTAATTTCTATGAGTGTATCCTCTATTGGAACTTACTATACATCTAATCAGTCATCTTTAAAGTTCCCACTAGATGCCACAGCCCAGGTTCAAACATGTGTGTGTGTGTGTGTGTGTGTGTGTGTGTGATTGACCCCTGCAGTGTCACACCTCGTCCCCAGACGTGTGAAAACAGCTACAGATCTGCTTCAGTTGTCCACCTCACCTTTCACTGATAAATGATACCAGTTAAGTCCTCACTGTGTTGGCCAAAGCATACATATGCACACATCCATCGCCACACACATCAACACACAACCTCCTGCTGAGTCTCTCACTCACTCAGTCACTCAGTCATTCAGTCAGTCATTCACTCACTCACTCACTCACTCACTCAGACACACAGACGCACAAAATAAACAAACTCCCTCCACCATTAGCAGATGTGTGTGAAATCAGTTTCCTTTGGGCTGACAGTAGGAAGTTTCAGGCCAAACTGAAGAAATGTGAGGAGCATAAACTGAGCAAAGTTTCCTGTTTTATATTTGTTAAAATAATTTTACAGCCTGCACTGAGACGTAAGTTTAGCGAACGCACAAACATGCACATTTCCGCAACAAGAGGTAATACACAACGCAGCAATACTCGGACCTAAAAACACATGGCAGATGGAAAACTTGAGAAACTACAGAGCCGTAACACTTGATTTACGACGACTACATGTAATATAAATGAACATGAGTCTTGAAGCTGGAGCTGGTTAGCAAGACAATCTCACAGCCCGCAGATAAAGATATGGCTGACAGCCCTGAGTATACGGTTTCTTAGCTGCGCAACACTGAACATCAACATTAACATCATTTCCTGAGCCCCCAAAAAGAGACATGACCGTCAGTGGAGGAGGAAGATCTGTGGATTTCATCATGCCTCTGCACTCTGATGTTTTACTTGAGGGTGGTGTCTCAAATGTTTGCCATTAGTGCAGTTAAACTATTAAATGTCAAAGCAGATGACAAGCTAGAGTTTGTTTAGCAGCTCGTCCACAGGGATTAATTACCTGACCATCTAAACATAAAAATGCCTGCGCTAAAGTCAACATAATTTCACCCCTGAGGTCAATTCCTTTCTGCTGTTTTTGGATTTGAAAAGAGGAAGACGTGAATGAGAAGGGAAATAAGGAACTGCAGGCAATGCTTCCCCTGTTATTAATATTCAGAGGGCATCTCCTATGAATTCACTGGGCCCTGTGGCATGCAATGCCGCGCTCTGTGGCTCCAAGCAGACTACAAACACTGACCATGGCTAGTTTACCGCCAACAGTGCATGGTGACATTGCTGATGTTCCACAGGCTGGCGAGGGAACATGCCTCCCATCTTGTTTACAATGAGTCATCCTCTGCAAAGTCCTGTCTTTCTCTGTGGACATGCTCAGTATTTTTCCAGCTCATAAGCACAGCTGGGCCTCTCGCCAGATGTTCTGAATTTAATGAGAGAAATGATCTTGGAGGGATTTTTTTCTTCTTCTTCATTTTTTGGCGCAACAGAAAATAGGACATAGAGCACTCAAAGGAAATTGGTGATTAATGTCTGCATTTTTAACACTCCAAACACCAGCAATGCAATATATTATGTTGATAGCATCTTGTATGTGGTGACACTGTCCAGTACAGTGTATGTCAACAAGGGAGAGTTGGGAATTGGAGTGTGAAGCCGCCTTAGGATTGTTGTTTATCTGGTGTATAATATATGATACGTGACAAATCACGGAGAAAGAATCTGAATGTTCTCTCGTATTATTCTTATTTTGTAGGCCTTAAACAACAACGTGTACAAGAATGTGTCACCCTATGGCTCCCTGAACAACATCGTGGATGGGCTCAACTCCCTGACGGACCATTTCTCAGACCTTTCCCTCTCTTCAGAGCCAAGAAAACCAAACAAAAGACCCCCGCCTAACTACTTATGCCACCTGTGCTTCAACAAGGGCCACTACATCAAAGACTGCCCTCAGGTGAGACTCGTAACACACATGCTTTACATAATCTACTCTCAAGATGACACAAATAGCTGAAATTGCAATAACTGCATAACTTTAGACTCCTCCAGTGTCTTTTCATTTGCTTCATACAAGCCAATGATGGCACTAAAAGTTGTGCTCGCTTCAGCCAATGCCTGTCTCTCTCTTGCTGGCTTTCTCTCCAGCTCTCTCACTCTCTCTCTCTTTGGCTCTGGTCTGACCTACTTGTTAAACAGGCTGGCCTCTGTCTTCTGTAGTCATGTGTGTGACTGTGTGTATATTTGTCCTTGTGTGCATCTTAACTGCCACAGCATTACGCTCCAAGAAACCGTCCGTTATAACCATGATGAATAAACTTGCGGGGCTAGTTCAGGGGTCAAAGGTGACGCTGTGTGTCTTTGCATTGGATCATCATTTTAGCTGTGTTGGCATGTTTGCAGGGACAAAATGTCTTTTCTGACATGTCACTAAAGTTAGTAGTTGTTGAGTTGCAGTCCTTTAAGCTCCTTGCTGATTCAGTCTGTCATGATGCAGATTTTTTTTGTTAGTGAGGCACCATGGTGAATCCATTTTGAGGTCTAGCATGGAAGTTACGAGCACACTAATGTGTGACAATCTAAACTCATCTTGGAAAGCATCTGTAACATTTTAGGTTTTAAACGATCCCCGCCAAATTACGTTAAATGAGGTGTGAGCGGAATTGTCTATTTTGGGAACAAGGCCCGGTTGGAGGTCTGACTTGTTGCTACAGGTTGACGCAGGTGTGCAGTCACTCAGCATCCACATGCAAATGAGAAAGCTTATGAGTTCAAATATTGTGCAAATGCAAAGTGAAGTGTTATTTTGTGGAGTTTGCAGGAGTTGTTGAGGAAGGAATGGACTATGAAATTGCTGCGGTGGATCTGTCATTGTGGTGTTATATAGCGCCTTGTAAAAGGCAAACTCCATGGCTCAGACTGTGGCCTGAAAGTGATCTGATTTCATAGGAGAACACGGAGTCACTTTTCCTCAGAATTTTGGAATTTTTACACAGAGTTGTTTTCTCGTTGGACTCATGGTGCCTAATAATCTCCTTTTTCTCGCTCTGTCTGTTTCTTGCCTCTCCCCTTATTTCTTCTCCCCCCTTCCTTGGGTGAGGTGCAATAGCCTAACCCCAGCCCTGAGTTTCTTTTTGCATGGAATGGTAATGAGGAGCAGATGTGAGATTAAAATGCTTTGACTCGCTTTATGACATATGATGACTGGTCTCGGGAGGTCTGTAAATGACCTGTGTACTGATGAAATATCTCCTGGACAGCTCCAAGCTGCAACGTGAGGGAATTAGATCATCTATTGACAACTCCAACGGGAATTTTGGGCCATAGTATATCATGCAACATGTAAGTTCTGCCTTGGTTTTTCCTTTATGTAATACTGTCATTGTTGAGTTGAGCATTGATCAAATGGTGCTGATGCGCAACATCGGAATAGGTGTGCATTAAGTAACTCATGATCGAACGTGTTTATTACTTTTTCTAAAAGTCTATGCTGTTAAAATGTTGCTTTATTAAACAAAATTCCCCTTTCACAGTGGAGGCTGTGAAATCAATCATGCTATAGATGTTAGCATTCAGGGGCGGACCTCAAAATCACACTCAGCCGTCTTCTGGTTTATATTTCAGCTGTTCGTTAAACTGCCAACAGTAAGTCAAAAAGCAGCAAAGTCTCCAAACGGCCTCCGCACCTACACAGTTCAACACCATCTCAGTTATTTAGGTCTCTCCTGGGCTTCTTTTCTCCATAAATTTACCTACCATTTGTGCTACATCACTTACACTATTGCCCAGTCACCTGTCATTACGGGCCTATTCTTACTTAACCAGCTCAAGAGCCAAATAACAGATGTGACGCAGGTCCTGCAATTGAAACATTGTTTTTAATGGCGAGAGCGTTCAGCTTACCTATTAGCCAAGGCTTGCATCATTTTCCAGGAGATACTTTCTCGTCCTACATTTCATTTCTCTGTTTCTCAAGGTGCGATGATCAATGGTGCGCCTACGGAGTTTCTGGTATCTGCCTGTGCTGGAATGCATTCGAGGATGAATGTGTCCCTACTAATAGTTTGTACTGCTCAGAGATGCTGTGCCAATGAAAACAGAGGCTCCTGCTTCACAGAGCACTGCTAAGTATGTCATCCTGATCCAGCATGGAGAATCACATTCTGATGACATGTACAGTCTTTCTCTTTTACTTCACCTCAACATGTTTTATTATGTTGTTTTGTACTGGGGCTTTTATTGAGTTGAAGTAAAGGTTACTTTTATACACAATAAAATGGATTAATGTAACATTTATTTACATATGCATTTATCTAAAGGATAAGGTCATTGTTATGTATCTGCATTTTTTGCCTTTTGTCCAAAAATGGCAAGAAGGTGATACTGACAACTATTGTCTGTGTATCCAAAGCCTGATATACCAACACATTCACACTCTGAACCATGGAAGTATTATTTAACTTGGAATAAAACAGCATTAGTTGTCAGTGGGCCTACACTTCAAACTAAGAGGCTCATTATATTAAAGTTCTGATTAGATTTATGCACCAAAAGTACTTGGTTAGGAAAAGATTATGGTTTGGGTCAAAATATTTACATTTATACGTGATGTACATTCATTACGTTCAATAAGTCAATTCGTGCACTCAAGTTTAAATAAGACAATGTTAACTTTCGGTTTCACACGCTACACAAACAGCAGTCTCCTTGGTAAAAGTCCTGTGTTTGTTTGACACATCCATTCACTCCAGTCCCTCCATGATTTCATAAGCTGTATTTGGGATTGTTCGACCTGAAATGCCTGATTTGACGGCAAATTTTCTAAAAATTTGCAATGTAGGCTGCAATGTTTTTAGGTGTTCTTTGCAATGAAGCACTGTCTCCGTGAGCTGCTCTCTCTTCCAGGTTTGCATGAGCTAACACAGCAGCAGCGTCCAACAGTGAGCCACTACGCAGTCCCAACAAGCTCACACCAACACCATAACAGCTCGACGCCATTGTTAAACCCGTTAATAACCATGAGGTAACATTAGCTGGGTGATGCTAACAGTTAGCCCTGTCACTGTGTGTGAGACTCTGTCCCAGGCTCAGAGCTCACACTCCTGCAGCAGTAGTCTCGTGATAAGGAGGGGCCGAGCGAATCAACATGCTGCGTGCAGCTCTACAATTAAATGAGGTTTTACCTGTTTTTAAAAGTAAAAATTGCTGTAAAGTTTGGGTGATTGGACAAAATTGAAAGGTCACACAGAATTCAGAATTTGCAACATTGCAGCATCCTGGAGCGGCTACTTTATACTACATCACCTGACTTCCTCCTTTGCTCTAGTCATAATTAGTATGGCCACATATAGCGCCATAGTTTGAACTGTAGGCCTACTGACACCCTGAGAACACACTGAATATACTGTAGTTTATTCCCCTGTATGGTAAACATCCATTGTTGTCCAAAAACCTTTAAGAACACATAAATGAGCCATGCTGCTGCACTGGATGACATGCTCACACACCTGCTTTGCATTTTTCCCTGCTCTTGTTAAGCCTCCATCCATCATGCACCAGTACTTTGGACAAACATGTTGTTTTTGTGGTTAAGATTTGGCTTGAAAATAACTATCATTCTTAGACTGTAGTATTTAATGAGGTTCAGATGTGTTAATTGTGTAATCATCGTTGACAAAATGAAGTTATTTTTTGACATGTACTTTTGAGATTTGAGACTATGCTTTAAAACCACCTTACCTCTGCCAAAGTTGACTTTTTTTTCGCAGCTGAAGGAGAGTCAAGGGTTTAGACAGTGGTGGATCCAGCACCCTGCACTGTGGTTGATGGTTTCCTTGTCTCCTCCATTGCTTGGTTCTGAGAGAATAAGAGTCAAGCAATTAAATAGTTGAGGTTACCGAAGTGTTTATGCATTACTTGCAATTTAAGACCTTTTTTAGTTATAACATGTTAATATTGGAAACGGGAGGAGGCTTGCGGCTGTGTTGAGAGAGTAATTTTTCAGGGAACTCTTGGTAGTCGAGTGAAAGCCACAGGCCTGGCAGCTGCTGCCCAGTGCTCCCTGTTATGGGGAGAGAGGTGTTATGTAAACTGGCTTTTATTCGGAAAATGAGGTCGCTCCCCCAGTTATGAGCAGAATGCCCCTCACTGCCATGCTTTGGCCCGCTTCCAAGATGTCTTCCACTTGCACTCATGATTTGGTTCTGTTCAGTGGACTAATCCTCTCAACAGTTGGCCCCACCTCTGATTTGAGTGATCAAAATGATGCAGTGAATGACATCTTCTTGCTACGGCTCTCTGTAGGAAGATTAACTCATGGAAAATGTCTTTGCCGGAATGCAGGTTTGTGGGTATGTGGGGGTGGCCACTGCTGCCGCTGCTGTGTGTGCTGGTGTGTGTGTTATGTGTGTGTCTCTAAGAGTTACTATGCCCCACTCCTGGTCCCAATGCATTCCCCTGATTCAGAATTATAGTTTCCTGGACATGTTTTTTTTACTCTTCTGAGAATTTTCACATATTTTGAAACTGGTAGAATACTTATTCTTATACTGGCTTAACAGTCCAAAATAACTGACCTAACATCCATCACTACTTCTGCTTTCACCCTTTCGCCTATTTCTGTTGGAAGTATTTCTCTATAATGCAAGATTTCCATTTCCAAATGCAACAGTCAAAGTTGAAATAAAACACTGATAATAGAGAAACGCTATTTCATGTGGACTACCCTACAGCTGTCATGTTATTTCGATTAAAATGTTGCTAAAGCCTCAGCCAAGGGATGTATGATATCCTGCCCACTTTTTAACTGTGAAAAAAGCACAGACAAAACAAAAAATGCATTAATCTGTCTTGTGAAACAACCAAAACCGTTTAAAGTAAAGCAAAATCAGCAATTTCTTTCTGAACACAACATGTTAGAAAATACTTGTTGAAAACATGACTTGAACTGTGTAGTAC